AGTCATATTATTGTTATATAATATCTATATACTGTATTATCATTATCATAAACCATGAGCCGTAGGCCCGGCCAAATTTGCAGATCATTTGGCCTGGTTTGAAATTATTTGACTTCAAAGTTGGCCAAATAATCAGCACAAATTTGAGATATTCTACGTATTTATAAAATTCCGATATATGCCTTAGCGATATGTAACAATAAATTATATTTTATTTCGATCATGTGCAGCAAACAATTTAGAACAATTAGTTTTTTATTTAGTAAATCAATGATGGTATAATTAGTAAAATAGATCCATAGTAGCAAGACACTCTTTCGAGTTGTGAAAACAAATACCATTTATTTCTTTGTAATAATTAACTTACTTTAAAGTAATAAATGTAAACATAAACTTTTTTATGAGTGACACCAAGGGAAAATGGGACTTCAATCATATAAAATTTATATGTAAAATTTATATGATTGAAGACCTATTTTTTCCTTGGTCACTCATCATAGAGAACTAAAATGAATGGTATATTGTAATGGTAGCAATTAAACCAATTACATTATAATCAGATAATCTGGATATCAACATGTACTGCATATCCGTTAACTGGTTGCTTATTCATTATTCATATACATTTATGCAAATAAGTTATTGGGGAATATCTATAATGAATTCAAGCATAAAAATGGATTTTAAAGTTTATCGTCGTTAATCTTAATGAATTGTAGACACATATAGGGATATAAGACTAGCGATATCACTATGGCGATAAATTATGAATTCAAAAATGAGACATTTATTTTTAATAATACATTTATTATAAATTTTAAGTCATTTATTTGTCATAAGAAATTATATTTGTCTTTTTGCCATCACTGCACTAATGTACGTGCGTACTGTACATGCATACATTGATAAGATTTAGATGACAAAATTGCAAAAAATTTTAGTAATATCGATATATAGATGTATAATCACTGACAAACTCGTTATTTTTTATTTTTTGTGCACTATATTCATCCAAATTGTGCGGATCATGACATAAATTGCCGATTATACGGAGTCCTTCGGGCTTTTATATTGCCGGAACATTATGAACTCATATATTTGATATATTATCGGCACCAAAATCAAGCGATTAACTATTGTTGAGATTAGCTCGATTTTCTCTAGTTAATCATATTTTTATGTCGGTGATGAACGATTGATTAATTTCGAATTTTTAATTCTTTTTACTACCCTGGTAATTATGTAACTGTGATAACTAAGATTATTACTACATAAATTTTTAAGCATCTTGAGTTTTAAACTTTATATTTATTCTCTGGAATTCGGTTATTAATCAAATTTTTATAATATATAAGCCGGATCAAGCCGACGACATCCTTAAAAAGAACACAATATAAGATAACATTAAATCATAATACCTGATCAGATTTAACGCTAAGCTTTGATTGACAACGATTTTCAAAAGAGGAATAATCCAAAAATTTTTTAATCATTGTATATACTGAATATGTTTATATTCAAATTAAAGTTATATAAAATGTATATACGTAATATAAATCATAATTTAATTTATATAATATTTTTATATAATTTTTTTTATATAATATATTTTTATTTAATATTTTTAACAATAATTTACTCCTCATTATCGTTATGTATATTGAATTTACTAAATTGATTATTTATTAACACGTGTATTATTAGGTAGGCTTTATTATATTTATTTATTTATTATTTTTGAAGTTTCTTTTGATCTTCACAATGAAAAAAATAGTGAATTTTGTCATAAAGTATAATATAATAAAAACTTATTAGGGAAAATTGATACTCAGAGAGAAAGAAAATTTCGTATAAAATACGTTACTATTATCAGTAAATTAAGCTCCGTACATATCCGTGACGATACTAAATGGGTTGATCATATAGATCTTTTCCCCGTAATTTTACAGTTTTAGAATTTAAGGATATCCGGTTTAATCACGTGATATGAGATCCAATCGGACTTTATAATTAACTGGTGAAATATTCCGAGTTAAGTAACTTGTGATCTTGTGACATAAACGTCTAATTCTAACGTCAAATATATATATATGAAAAAAAGAAGAATAAGGTTTTACCCTATTCGAACTGGTATTAATGATTAATTTTTGGGGAATATATGAATGTCGATTGTGTACGATAGATCTACCAATATTTAGTATTGATGATGAAATAATTCGTCACATTGATTTGAAATGACGTTAATCAGGTTAATCAGTACTACATACAAGATTGAAAAAAAACAGGATTAGTTTCTGTCCTGTTAAAATTTTTGCAAGTTACTAATACTAGAATAGTAATCACTTTTTTATTATTTTATGTCATATTCATTAATATCGATAATATTTATTTTTAGCGTAATCCGTGGCGAGGCTGTATTTACTGTCAATCTCCTTTTAAAAGAAAATTATTTTTGGTGAATAATATATATAAAGTTAGTTACAGACAATGAGACTAAACTTTACGATTCACATGGTACAAACCTTTATCTGTCACATTTCGTTTCTTTTAGAGAAAAAAGATTGAAGAATTTAGAAAAGCCATTGTAATGTATGAACAATACAACTTGTGATTAAAAATTAAAATAAATTATTCTTCAATTACATTGAACATAGCCACGAGGTTTTTTTTATTTATTTTTTGCTATTTATACTATATATATATATTTCCCAGGTATTTTTACATCGCGTCGATCAATTCACCCATCACATTAAACTTTGTGTTGTGAAACTAAAAAATTTACATAAAAGGTTAAGTAGTTATTTAAAGCTCATGAACTATATCGATATTAATTAATCCAAGGTGATTTGTGATTTCTACGCATATTTATGTGATTACATGCGTAAAATTTTGTAAAATTTTGTTAGATTAGCGATCAAACATCTAAAAAAAAATAAACGGTGAGTAACCAAAACTTTGCATTTAAAGAAATTTTTCATTTAGAGAGAATAACCATATATATTGAAATCAGAAGATCTTTGCATTTTTATTATTACGCGTATTATGAGAATGCTCATTTAGCGTTAGATCGTATCAACTAAAAAAGGTTGTACGTATTATTCTTTACTGAATTGTTTGAAATCTAATATTTTTTATATGATAACGAAATATTTTAAAATTTCTATTTTAATTATAGTTCTTTTAAGATTGAAACATGTAAGATTTTTTGAGGTAAGTATTTGAGATAAACATTCTCACGAAGAAGAAAGAAAAGTTTCGAATACATAGAAACTGCTGTTGGGCTATGAAAAATGCATGCAAGTATATCTTATCATAAAATAGTTACGTATCTATATAAAATAGTTATCTATTTACATTTTTAGCTGAATAAATGAGCAGAATGTTTCATAAGTACGACTCAAGATTTCCGTGATTGTAGAAAATATTTTAAACGATAACAAAACGATAACGATAACTGATAACTGATAACTGATAATAATTTAAGTTTAATTATTCTTAATTCACTATTTTTGTATACCAAGTTGTTTTTAAAACAAATCCAATTTTAGATTAAACTTTAATCTCTAAACGTATAATTCTATATAAATATGAAATTATCTTTAAACACTACACTTCCTCTTAAGCATATTCTTTGTTATAGTTTAGAAAAGTTACATATTAAGTTACATCGTTTCATTGACGTTTAATTGATGTTTGGTTTTGACGAAAAATTTGGTGATAATTAGTCACCATATGTCAGCTAATGTCAACAAATGTCATCTAATATTCAGTTAATTGTTACTATAAAAAGAAATTTTGTAATTCCTAATTACGGAAAACGTTGTACGTACCAATAAAAGAAATATTGCAGAAAAAAAATGTGATAAAGATAATTTCGGAATTCAATAAGGCTATGTCACCTAAAAATAGAATTAATCTAAACTATAAAGAGTAATACCAATTAAATTCATGCCAAGCCTTGGCAAATCATTTAAACAGAGGTAAAAACGTTTTAAGGTAATGTTTCGCTATAATTATGTTCTAAACGATATTGTTTGGTAATTAGAGGGTTGGAAAATCATTAAAATGTGTAACGACTTTACTATACGAATAAAGCCTTTGTTATCATTGTTTTTATTTATTTTTATTTTATTTTATTTATTTATTTTTTTTTTATTTTATTTTCTTTTTTACAAAGCAACTCTCCAATGACGCGAGTATATGCATGTATGCGTATAATTAACGTACCTACCGATTTAGAAACATAGCACCTAACTTATAATCAATCTTCATCTCTGATATAAAGGATATAAAGGAAAGGCTTAGAAAAATGTCCCAATGCTGTGAAAGTCAATTTTATTTAGGAATTAATAAGCTAAATAACGATAACCTTTCTACAATAACATTTCAATTTAAGCTGTAGACATATTGTAAGACAGAAAATTCCGTGAAATATTAATATAAACGTTTTCAACCTACCCGACCTATGTAAATTCGTACATACATACGTACGTGTATAAGGATTCGAAAATCCGCAGGTTGCAATTGTTTTTATATATTAAATCATTCTTGTGTATTTAGTGTAATAAAACTTTTATTAACTGATTGATTGTGTCGCAAACATATTATTATATATGAAATACGCTATAATAGTTAAATATTTACCGTAAATTATTAATTAATTAACTTGTAAAACATATCGAATATACAATACACATGTATATTCGTGATTATCAAAAAGTTTCTTATTATAAAACTTGAAGTGTGATAATTAAAATAGTTAAAAGACGGTTTGACGGACGATTAAAGTTAATACGTTTAGTGATCTACAAAAAAAATTGATATTGGTATTACACATATCTATAATCTATAATCTATATAGTACTTTAATAAAAAAAAAAAATATAAGTATACACTTTTTTTTTCCTTTTTTTTTCTTTTTCAAAAAAAAAAATATAAGATTGTTAAAAGTTGTCGCCGTCGTCTTATTTAAAATATTTTTTTAAATAAACATGTTTAAAATGGGGCATACGCAATCTTCTGAAGGCGTAGACCCATCTCTGGATAAATCATCTGAACTTAATAAAGTTCAAGATAACAATAATAATAATCATCATCATCAATCTAATAAAAATCTATTAATAAGTAATAACTCCCAAACTTTTACCTCTAAATCCAGAGAAAATTTTTTGGCCACACAATCAAATTTCGGTTCAACGGAACTTTCGTTCTCGTCTGCACCGACCACCAACTTTCCCACGACGGAAGGAAATTATACCATAGAGTCCAAACGACAAACTTTTAGTTCAGTACAATCTTCTACTGATGATGAATTATCTCATTATTCTTTAAATTCAAAGGGAAAGTCTACCAATTTCACTCCTGACACTCTTAACACTCCTGACCAACCTTTTTTTTGTCGGACTCCATCCTCGGTTACTTCATTGAATGATGACTGTGATTCTTCGGAATCAAGTTATCGTATTCACTCAAGATCTCAATCAACTGATATTTATTATGATAATATTAATAATAAAAGATTTCATCGGTCATATTCATTACCAAGTAATTCAAGAAGACCTCAACGTCATTCTTCTTATCTCTCTCATTGCTCTTTGTATTCAGAAAGTCGTGATGAACCACTAAGATGGAAAAAAGCTCATAAACGACAATCCATTTTAACATTACAACAACAAATCCCTTCTTATCTATCCACTGAACCAAATAGTATACCTTATTCTTATAAAGAAGCTATGGATATAATATGTGGTGAAAAAAATTATCTATCAAATTATCAAGAATCTGACGATGACTTTTGCGACTCTACTCCAAGTACTTCAGTTACCGCTTTAAGCAGTGTCAATGATGATATTACTGAAGAACTTTTATTATTAGATCCAAAATCTCTTTTTGGTTCTGAACCTTTTTATTCTTTACCAGAAACTCACGTGTTATACCTAATTAAACGTGATGATGTTGGTGGACATACTGAAGTTGAAATTTGGAGATGTCTTGTTGAATGGGGTAAAAGAAATACTCCAAAATTTATTTTTAATAATGATATTAATAAATGGTCTAAAAAAGATTTTGAATCACTTGCAAGAACATTACGTAATTGTATTTATTGGATAAGATTTTTACAAATGACTCCAATTGAATTTCAAACTTTTGTCATGCCATATCAATATATCATTCCTAAATTTATTATTGGAAACTTTTTACGTCAAAAAATAACTGATCATCCCCAAACTTCAATGGCATTGGCTCCTGCAAGGATTCCAATGACTCCAATTGATTCAACTATTATTACGGGTCGACACGCTACAATTTTGAGTAATTGGATCAAGAATGAATCACACGAACCTATAATAAAACAATCCCCTTATAGGTTCAACCTTATTTATCGAGCAAGTAAAGATGGTGCAACATCAAGAGATTTTCATTTACATTGTGATAATCAAGGCCCAACAATTCTTGTAGTAAAACTTTCAGGTCTTAATATGTTCATTGGTGGTTATAATGCGATGAGTTATAAAGATTCAAGGCGTGCATCTACCCTTTCATTATCAAGAAGAAATTCAATGAATAAAAAAAGGGAAGAATCTGCCCAAGGAAATTGTTTCATATTTTCTTTTGAAGATACTTATTATCCAGAACAAACCGCAATTATAAGTAGAGTAATTCCTGAATTTAAAAAAGATGCTATAAAAGTAAAAAATAAATGGGGTGGTCCATGTTTTGGACGGGGTGACCTTTGGGTTTGTCCTGATAAGAAAAATAAATCTTTATACATTCGTCCGACATCCTATGAAATTCCAATAATAGATTCTGAGGATGTGAATTTTAAATGGGTCGATTTTGAAGTATTCCAAGTCTTGGATCAATGAACATTTATTATTCTTGCAATGACATTTTTTTTTTAAAAAAAAACCACTCATATCACCTCATTAATTAAGTAGATTACATCATTATAGAAATCAAAATTTTCTTTGTTTTTTTATGGATTAATTCTTTTTAATTTTTAATATGCCTTGAATTATCGTCAATTTGTTTTCTTGTACATATTAAGGTTTATTATCTTTCCAAACACTACACATACACCGTTAGTTGAAAGGGACATTTGTTTTTTTTTCTTTTTCTATCATTTTTATTTACCATTTACCAAGGATTTACCGAGGTTTTTTTTTTCTTTTCCCGTTTTTTTTTGATTCAACGAATAAATAAAAAAAAAAAATAAATAAAAAAATAAAAAAAATAAAAAAAAAATTGTTAATTCTCACGGATAAACTTTAAGAAATTTGTTTCCAATGAATGAATTAATTAATTAATGAAATGGGTGAATATACACCATATACGTACAAATATACAATTATTATTGAACTTTCCATAAATATTACTGTTTTTAAATATACAAAAAAATTTTTTTAGAATTTGATGAAACAAAGAGAATATATTAAAATAGAAATATAGTTTTTTCTCAAGCAACACATTACCCCATTGAGAGTTATTTGCTTACAATTCAAGAAAACGCCATCTTTGTTATTTATAATGAATATCTTCTTTTGACCTATCTATTAAATTTATTTTTACGAGTTTAATATTGAAATTCAATATATTTTTACATTTAGTATTCATTTTGCATTAATCACACGGACGGAAAGGTTTTTAAATCTAAAATTAGTAACGTATGTCAAGAAATTTGCATACATCACAAAAGTGCATTATCATTATGCATTATATGCTGCATATGCATGTGACGTATGAATGCTATATCGTATAATTTATATTACATCATTTATATAATTCAATTGAAAAGTTTAGTTACTAATTATTGTAATTTATTGTAATAGACACATTAACGTACGTTAAGCAGCGGTAGGGTCATCCCGTTTATCCATATCTAATTATCCGGATAATTCAGGACGCTTGATAATCCGACAGGGTATATGGATAATTTTCAATAGTAAATGGACAGTAAATGGATATCTGAATAAATTCGGATCCGGATACTGATAATTAGTAGTACAACTGATTTTTTAGGTTTGATGGATTGTTTAACGTTCTAACACGTACGTACGTACCTACCTACCTACCTTTTTTTCTATATCAGATATTTAAAGTATTCTTACGTATTGTAAGTATACAAATATAGTCACATGCTAGCTCTAGGCATCTAATTCTGCGTATAGATTGTTACTTATCTGACACATTATCTGATACATATATTAACCATACAGATTTGTTTATTAATTATTAATTCTTATTAATAAGTCGCGTGTATTAATAATGACATTTTAAATACGTCAAAAAATAATTAATATTCATTCAGATTAACAAAATCCTAGCTCTCTAACTAAAACGCGAATAATGTTTTCGTCGATGGTCTGTATATCAAGTAAATCGAATAAACCGAGAAAGGATAAAGTTCTCCATATATAAAACTAATTTGATTTTACTTTTATAGTTATCTACAACTTTATTTGAATTTATTAAGTTATAAAAAAATAAATTGCGCAGACGAGTGGATTGCTCTGATCTCATCATGCATTAGTTTGCTACATTTTCTTTTTCCTACATATCTGATATAGTGTACTGGCGCTGTCAAGCTCATACGTACTAATCATATAAAGACCAAGTAAATACTTAATCGGTTTTTGAACGTGATTTTATTGAGATGCTTGATTTGTTATTACTGTATTATATTACTTTATCTAACCTTTTTTGGTTTTTAAACTAAAATAAATTGAGTTCAGATGCTTGTGAAACATACGGATTTTGAAAATGAGGAGATATTGCTTTATTTGGTTGAAACTACGTTGACGTTAAAGAGTAAATGCATGTATTGTGTATATTTTGAACGCAACTTTTTTCGACTTGTGTAAATTGTGTGAATTGTGATAATTATGATGTAAGATAATTCAAAAATAATAAAAAGACTAGATACTTTTTTAGTATTCGAGGTTTTAAAACACGTGTTTATCATTTTTAGTTAGTATAAAATTTTTTTTAATAATAAATATACTGTATATATTTATATATGCTTAATATAACTAGATGAATTGAAGGTAGGATCCGCCTATCCGGCCAGATAATATAGAGTTATTGGATGCGAAGCGGGTTCCCTTATGTCAAGAAAATCCCGAGCTGTAGATCACTGTAGATCCTTTCTGATCTGATTCCGGAGCCCAAATATTCA